ATAGCAACTAAGATATAGGATCGTATACATATGTGAGTTAAAGGTGTTGTCCGCTACACCTCTACTCCAAATTTTATGCCGCTGCGGTGGGTTTGCCGCACTGTTTCTGCCTCGCTTTCAATCAGAAGTTAGTAAACCTAAAAGTTGCGCATTCCTATATCACGCAACTAGAACATTGTTAATCCTTCCTTCTTTGTCGTCTTACGTTCTAGTAGCTGAGCTACACGCAATCCTTACTTCACGTATCGTCTTTGCAATCTGTCTTGATGGTGCTTGAGGTATTTTCTCGTGCCGAGAAGGTTCTCGAAAGTTCACGCTATGCAAACACGTCCTTTTCTCAACAGCTCCTGTAATGCAATGAGTTGGTACTTTATTTCTGTCGACTATGACTCCCTAGTCTTCAACTTTTAGCAAATTAGCAAAGTAATTCTTGATCTATGCTTGCAAAACACATACATGCCGCTAATCATCGTAAAATCCTCGACATCCCCATGCATTTGCATGCATTCTTGACTGTTTCTCAGCCTAGTCCTACAACAAGATCTTGGTCATTACTACCTGACGGCATGAGTTGATGATCTCTTCTGGTTCTCAATATCTTCGAACGGAGTCCGTCAGAAAGCGAGGAGTTGCATGATCTCAAAATTGGAGCTTACTTCTAGTACATCTTTCATCGTGTGTATCAATAGAGAACACTTACAATTACTAGGAAACCCTAGCGAGGGCTCTTATACATTCCTGGACGGTTAGCCTACTGCAGTGTGTGCGATTTGATGTCTTAGTTAATATCTACTCTATCTACTAGTACTGCGATCACATAGAGCGAGAAACAACATACCTATAACTCTTGTGATACATGACTATTCCATTCGCTAAGGCACTTCTTGAATAAGAGAGGTCGCACTTATCAAACTCTTATTTATGGTTTCTATACTTCTGTCACCATGGCATGCTATTTCGTAGCTATCTAAGTCCTATCTTGTTTTCTAGAAGTTATAGAATTGTTGTCAAGTGCTTCCTCATATGGAAGCTCCAAGTTTTGAGGCACAGGTTATCAAAGTAAAAAAGTGAATTCGAACTATGTACAGGCGAGTTCCGCAAATTGATGTGTACAGTATGAGAAAGGTAAGAAGGTAACTACGTAGCACTCTTGTGGTCCATATCCATCCATCCCGGGGTCATTCGTAAAGATGACTTTATGATTCTATAGAATCGTCTATGCGCAGTAAAGGTCGGAGGTGGAGCTGTCGAACTTGCAGTTGGAGGGAGACTGAATGGCAAGCTAGTTGGAATTAGCATACTGATATGTGAGCAAACATGTCATGGCTGTGACTTACGTTGATGTAGCCACCGTCACCGCGGCTGTAGAAGGAGTTGTCGGGGCCGGACATGAGGAAGCAGTCGTAGTCGGTGTTGAGGACACCAGACTTGAAGCGGACAGAAGAGAGCTCGCGCATCTGGTTGGGCTTGGTGACGTCGTAGGCCTTGTTGTAGCAGACGGCAGCCTCGCCGGGGCGGGCGCGCTTGATCATCTCGGCGACAGTGGCCTGGGTGAAAGCCTCACGGGCCTGAGTAGTGAGAAAATTAGTCTGAGAACTGGATATGATTTATAGGGGTTGTAACTTACAGCGTTCCAGTCAATGGCATCCTTAGCGATGTTGAGGGCAGCAGTGCCGGAAACACCGACAATACCAGAGACAACACCTCCGATGATGGCGATGGAGACGGGGTCGACAACGCGCTTGTCGAGCTCAGGAACAGCGGGAGCAGTCCAGTTGGTCTTGTGGGGGTGAGGGTGAGGCCAGGTAGGGACGGCAGCGGCGGCGCCAGCAAGGAGAGCGGTAGCGAGTTGGAACTTCATTTTGAAAGAAGGGTGGTTGGTGATTCAGCGAGTGAAATCGGGTGGAGTGTAAGAGGCTGTTGTAGTGATGATTGAAGACTTGATGATCGTGATGAGGATATTGAGGAGCACTTCTCAACCTCTTATATATCCAAAGTCTGGCGCTGATCACCACCCAAGGGGCATATACAGATATCTTATTCGGGCCATTCTCGTTGCTATCTCTCTAAAGCCTCATGTTTCTGACACCGCCCGGTGGATTGTTTTCATGTACTCCTTGGCTCCAAGCGTGAGGATACATGCGATGGAGTGTGGCCAAGGAAAGGGATCGTCCGTGTGCCTTGCAGGTATGGCGTGAAAACGAGCCATTCGGTGCGATTCCTGAACACGACATCATCAGAGCCTCAATACTCGTCTCCGCTTGTTCGGCGGCACTCATGAGGCTTGCCCGGTTCTAAGCGTGAAGACGCACGCATGAGGCTGATTAGTGAGGTACCTAGGTAGCTTGGCTAAGGATATTGCCGTTGCGCAGGCAGACATATTCAACCTTGGAAGGATCGTATGTGATGCGAGTCCCTGTAGGGAACCAGTTTCAGAATGCGTTCCTTGCCTATATTGTTTCCCGGAAGCTCATCAACACGTTCTCATCGTTCAGGCGCACCGTGGTGTCTGTTCACTGGAGATAGATTACTTAGCAGCCGTTTCCCGTGCCGCAGTGACCGCTTAGATTCCCGATCGCGATCCGTGGGAGCTGGGACGTCGTACCCCAGAGGACAGGTTACGCGGTTAACTTACTCAAGCAAGCCGTGGATTGCGCACTGAAGGTTCTTGGCATAAGCTTACGGAGGATGCCGAATGCCCGTGACTAACTATTCCTGGTTAGGATCAGCTCCGAAAATTGAGCCGCATTCCATCTTCGAAGATCGTTATACTGAAGCATCATGCTACTGCAGAGGTATGCCAGCCTTCGTACCGGCTTCAAGCCGACTAAGCGCTCAAAATCCTTTTGGATGTTTGTTAGCATAGTTGTTATCGTTCTTAGCACGATCCGTATGATTATCACAATCACAAGAAACACGCCGTTCATCCTGAAACGACCATGATCTTCTCTTGGCCTACTTCCTAGCCATGTTAGCGCGTTTGTTTGGAGATGCTATCGCGAATTCACGTGTTAAAGAAGTCAGCCTGACCAGATATCTCCGCATGTTTTCTCTTCAGATAGATTAAGCTACGTAGACCCAAGCCGGCAAATCGTATTAAGTTTCACCGGTGACCTGGTCGCTGTCAACTTGATACAAGACGATGACGTAGTACCCAAGACCCTGTGCTATAATCGAGCAACCATTGGTCTGAGAGCTCACACGTGGTTGCCTCTGACAGACCGACGGTAACCATCCACACGTTATCACTCAGACCACTCTCTCCGCATCTTCTCGAACCCCTTTGTAAGCCCCTGTCCTCCTGTACCCACAGGAATCTCACCTACCTCAAGCCTCCTCGAGAGTTCCATTCGCTGCGCAGCTTCAAGATTAGTATCAAGGATGTCTGTACCTTCTGCGGCATCTTGCCATTGTTTCAGCGTAACACTACGAGGATCATTCCGGCTCTGCTCAACAAGAGCTTTGACTTGATCAAGCTGCATGATGAAGTGCTTCAGAGTTTTGATGGCAACGTCGTTCATGGCGACTTCGGCTTGGTACTTTGCATCCTGCTGGCGCTTCTTGAAGAGTTCAGCATGGAAGCGATCATCGAGTTGGGGCCTGGGCAATGTATGCATCTGTTCTTTTCGAGATATTGCTGATTGCGAAGCGTGACAGCCTGTATCTCGCGATGGTGGTGCACCAGAGCCTGATCTTCGCCTTACCTTCTCGGCTTCTGCATTTGGTTTCCCGATGTGGGCAGCGAGCGCGACGTAGTCTACATGCGGCACGCTTCCAACCCATTTCGCGGGTGGAACACCCTCCCCGCAGGGAAGGCGCGCTGCGAGGTCAAGATATTGCACGCTTCTGGGCAAGTTGACTCGCGACCAATGTTTCTCGCAGTACTCCACGCGTGCCTCGTTGTTGGAACGCGGGTCGTTTTTCGGCCACCCCACTCGTGGCCAAAGCTTCTCACGCAGGTCCCTTACCGCCGTAAGGTTCAAGTTCGGGACGGGTTGTGGCCGATGCGCTTGCCGGTACCGCTTCTCCTTGTAGTTTGCCAGCGCTATCATGTTCAAGTAGGGAACTTCTTTCGGCCACTTCTCTTTGTGATGAGGCTTTTGATAAATGGCGCGCAACTTGCCAGGAGATTTCTCGAATAGCTGATCCCAATCTGCCGGTGTGACAGAGTCTCGGTCCGCAGTGTGTTGGCGTCTTAGAACGCGAGACTGCCTCCAGAGTTGACTGACGCCGAGTTTCCACGCACGGACTCTGCGCCGCATTATCAGTATCTTGAGGTCATGTGCGCGTTGGGCCTTCCGTTTTGCGACCGAAACTTTGATGCGATGCAGGCGGTTCCTATGTTGCTGTAACCGGGTGGGCCATCTTGAGACAATGCTATTGAGCCGGTGTTGTAGGAGGAGATGCTTGAAGCTGACGCGATTCCAGCGCGTGTAGTGTTCGGAGCCACAGCCCATGCTTGAGTACTCGGTTGTATTGATGATAGCGGGACTTGGCTGACTACCTAGGTAGTGTTGCCGACAGTTGAAAGGGGCTTGGAAGAGTGCGACGAGTGGGTGGTGTAGAGCGTGAGGGTGATAATGCGGTGGAGGAAATCATAAGTATATACTAGATGGATCTGGTTAGCCAGGCCGCAGAAGTCGCAAGTGAAAAAACTTGCCATAGATAAACGACTGTCGCTCTCCCCAATACCAGAGTGTTCTGCATCGCCCATCGCGAATTCAGTGAAGGTGGTGGCAGTACATGTAAGCGACGTGCTTCTGATAAAGAAAAGGTAAGAAGATGCTTCCTAGATATGTCCACTGAGCGCGAAACCCTCCCTACCATTGCCAGAGCAGTCGTTGAATGACGTCATGTATCAGGCAAAATAGTCACTCTGTAGAAAGTGGGAGATGAAATGATGCTGATGATAGAAAGCAATGCGTGTACTACCGCGGTTCTTATTTACTAGCCCTTTCCATTCTCCTGCAATAGAAAGAGGTGATCTATGTATACTCAACCTACTGCCACGAGCTGCTCAGGCTCGCGCTCGCTTGGCATTTGGGTACGGTGTAGCTTCTGTTCGGGTCGCTCTCCCATGTCACTGTTCCGCCACTGCTGATCTTCACGAACTTGTATTGAATCGATGAACCGGCCGCGAATGGGATTGTGATGGTCCAGACGGGGTTGCTAGAAGTGTAGCTGTTTGCCGAAAGGGTGAGACCGTTAGCTGGCGTCCAGTTGCCTAGCTGCGCAGTGTTACCGGTGATCTTAATGGTGTCACCAGGAACGGTGGTGATGCGGTGTGTGAAAGAGACAGAGACAGCTGTCGGGCATGCGGTCGACGTAGCAGTGGCAGTCTTTGTGGTAAGGGTGGTACCAGTGGTGGGCGTAGCGGAGCCAGCAGTGAGGACGATGGGCTCACCATTGCTGACGGTTACACAAATCCTGCCGCTGCCGTCGGCAGTCACCGCGGCGCCGTTTCCGTAGACGTTTGTCCATTTTCCGTTGGCCTTTTGGGTGTTGAAGCAATGCTGCTGGTTGGAGGTGCTTCCAGCATTCGTAGTAAGAACGATAAGGTTACCGCCTGCACGGCTCCAGGCGTAGGCGTTGTCCGCTACATACAAGTGAACATGGTCATCAGCGGCAAGACCTCCTGCAGACTTCCTCGCGGCGCTCAACTTCTTGATGGCCTGGTAGAGGTTCGCATTGGTGTTAAAGCCACTTCGCCATAGGTCCTCTCGGTTGGCTGGGTCGTCACCGCCGGCGTAACCTTGTTCGGTACCGTAGTAGAGAATGGGAATTCCTCGTGCAAGGATAACGTAAGCCAGGGCGTTCTTGAGCAGAGTCTGGTCGTTCTTCACGTTGAGCCAGCGCTTGTTGTCGTGGTTGTCCAAGAAGGTACCAAGAGCAGATGGGTCGGGGAAGGTGTTGCTGACGGTGTTCATCATGTCTACGAGCGCCTGAGATGAGCCCTTCTGTTGGTAGAAGTTGTTCATGGGGTAGTAGACCGCGTAGTTCAGAAGACCAGGCATGAGCTTAGCATACTCGGCAAGGTAAGTAGGGTTGCCATCGAACACTTCGCCGATGCTGTAAACTCCCGTCGCAGAAGAGAACCCGGGCCAGAAGTCTTTCTCAACGTGCTTGACGGTATCGATGCGAACGCCATCGAAGTTGTACTCCTTGACGAGCCAAGAAACCCAAGTGTTCATGACGCTGCGGATCTCGGACGATTGAGTGTTGAGGTCAGGGAGACCAGCAATCTGGCACTGCTCGACGCTGCCTTGGTTGCTGTAGTTGATGTCGCAAGCGGAGTGGTATGAAGAAGCTTGGTTCAGCGGCGAAGGGCGGTTGTTCGTGATCGCACCTGGTCCCATGTGGTTGGCAACGACATCAACCATGACATAGACGCCCTTTAGAGGATTAGTGGATGTATATTTTGATGTTGCCTGATTTAGTCGTACCTTTGCATGAGCGGTGCTAACTAGACTCTTCAGGTCGGCAGCAGTGCCGTAGTTTGAGTTGATGGCATATAGGTCCTCAGCCCAGTAGCCATGGTATCCAGCAGCCTTGTCTACGATTGTTGTTAATACACATACACTCCAATGTTGACGAGCAAATCGTACTTGAAACGACCGGAGTGATCCAAATGGCATCGAATCCTAGGCCCTTGATGTAGTCGATCTTGGACTCAAGTCCCTTGAAAGTTCCGCCACAGTAGTTGCCGAGGTTGCTGCATGATGCGCCTCCAGTGTCGCTGCTGCTGCGAGCAACACGGTCGGTGAGAACGAAGTAGATGCTACGAGACTTCCAGGCGCTCGTGTCGGCCGCTGAAACGAGAGAAGTGAAGCCCAAGAGAGCAGTAGTGATGAGGTTGGAGAACAACATCTTGATCAGCTCAATGCTTTTCTGAGCGGATGCTTGAAGTTGCGGGGCTGTGATGCTTTCGTTCTGGATGAGGTCGGCCGCTGGATTTATAGACGTGCCTCGCGTGGGTGTCACAAGGCCACCCAATGTCCCTCAGCCTACCCCACAAAGTTGCCTTAATCCCGAGTAAGGCTTACAGGACCTCGTGGAGGACTTCTGCGCCTCTTCGCGGTAGTCGAAGATACTAAGAAGCCGAAGTATGGTTAGAAGCCGCACAGAGAACGATGGTGATGCTCCGGACCGTCATGAACCCACTGAAAGAAGTGTACCTGGGCGATCATTGTACTCTTGGCGATCTCTCGGACCGAGTTCGAGGCGTCCAGTGTGCCTCGTGGACGTTTGAAACATATCGGTGGGGTACAGAAAACGGTCAAAGGCCCCGATCAGGAAGCTGCGGAATACTAGACCTCCGACTTTGCCATGGACGCAGTAGTATTGGCCGCTGCACTTCCCTGGCGTATTGGCTCTAGGGCAGACTAGAGGTTGTGAAGGCTCAGGGGAAATGAGAGAAGTCGCAGGGTTGAAATGAGAGTGGCGGCGTAAGCGAGCTGATGTGCCTCGGGATTGCGGCTTAGCGCTGCCATCACGATCCGCCCTCCCCGCATTCCGGTACTTTAGCACCGTCCAAGTCAATTAAGGTGCGGGCCGGACAGCGTTCTGAGGTCTTCTGACCGTTCTGCATATGCGTCAGCGCGTCCTCTGCTTGCTGACGCGCATTGTTCCCGACAGCGACCCAATGAACGGGAAGCCGCTTTCACGACCACAACTAAGACGGCAAGCCTCCGAAGGGCGCTAGATGCTTTCGTTAGGGCATGTACAGATGGCGGACGGTCTCCGACTTCTAGTCGACGGGCTAGAAGAGAAAACCCGGGTTTGGGGATTTCCACGAATCCACGTGTCGAAAGGAGATTTTTCAGAGTCTGGAGCCGACCACAGCCGACATGACGGGAGGCGTTTCCGGGGTGCATCATTTTGACGACAGCGCAAATATCGATATCGCATCAGGAGCCTTGGGGAGTGCAAACACCGAACTTTGACATGCCGAGGCGCTGCCTTGCGAGCCGACATCAATCCAATGGAAGCAAAGGATGCTTGACATGCATGTGGAAGATCACGATAACCGCGGGTAGGAAAAAAGATATCCTCGTCGTGAAGTGATCATCGCAATCCCTGATGGTGTGCCAATGACCCAAGCGCAGTTCTCTCGACGATGGCACCCCTCATAGTCGAGACGCATACGACTAGACGTGAAGTTGCTTCAAAGCGTGTCGTCTTGCTTCTTTGTCTGCTCTCTACCTAGGTAGTTGGCGCTCGGGACCTACGGCACCATTGTCGCAGCGCTTCAGAAAAGCGACGTCAGTAGTGGCTGCTGAGACATAGCCATGTCGCATCAAGATACCTGTAAAGTGGCCTCACGATCTGGCTGGGTCACGTTCAGCGTTCTGCTCTACTGGACAATGTCTTTGTTGTCGGAGACATGAAGGTAATTCGACAAAGCCATTCGTTCCGACGATTGTCCCCTTTGTGGACCAAGCTGTATAACATGCACGATCCTGAGTCTGTCGCGTGCGTTGTTTTCAATGTCACATCATCACCGACAGTGACCAAATTGAACAATCGCCCGTATCTCAAAGTTTCCCTCACGCTTCATGGCCTATGCGCACCGCACGAGGGCTGGAGCTCGCCACACTGGCTACAATCTGCGCGGTATCCCGATACCGGCACCAGCGGCACCACATCCAAGACAAGTAGTCAAGAATACTGTAGCTAGACGAATTCGGAACGAATGGCTTATCACGCGGCAAAACAGGAGAAGCAGAGGCTTGGGGCGGGATGGTAACACCTGTTTTCGCCTGAGCGGTTTGCAAGCGCTATTGCATCTGCCAAGGTTCCTTCAGTGGATCATCTCACACAACAGTACACAAGGTAGCACGACTGTTTTCCCTTGTCGTCCTGTTGCCGCTATTCAAGCGCAACTAGCACAGGGCTTGACGCTGGGTAAAAGCGATACTTTGAAGAAAAAGAAAGACGAAGAACAATCAAAAGATCTAGAAGACTGCCCCGCTTGCGCAGTCAAGGCTCTAGCGCAATTTTATTGGGGTAATCAAAATCTTAATGCTGCTGGCTATCCTAAGCCACTGCGCTTTAACCATGCACTGCTAGATGCGGTGCACGATGTAGACGACGTATTGCGTATGTTTACACCTGGAGCGGGTACCGGTGACGCGCAACAAGATCCAGAGGAAATGCAAACGTGATTACTGACGGCATGCCTTGAGTCTGTTGATCACACGTAAGGTGCCCGAAAGATACTAGACCAGCTTGTGCTAACAAACGTAGTATCGCAGTTAATACCGAATGGAGAACTCGCCATGAAGCACTCTTCATTCTTCAGCTCGATATGAACCGAACTTGTGCATGCGGTGCTGTACGGACGTTGACTCCGGGTACCAATGTTGACGGTATCGGGTTCAACAACGTCGCCATTCTCCCTCCGGGTACCAGAGATAGCATCACAGATGCCATGCATCGACACTTCACGCCATCACCTTTGGGCAATCTCCCTTGCGGTACCTGTAACATGCTACAGCCGTTCACCGAATCTATACACATCGAAGGGTCGCCCGAGTACCTCCGCATCAAGCTCAGTATTGTCGACCAAGGTATGAAGAACAACAACCCTGTAGTCCTCGAGGAATATCTGGATCTTGCTCAGTACCAAGCCGTCGGCGGTATTCCACCGTCGCTCAAGTATCGACTAAGTAGCGTGCTTTCTCACTTAGGGGAGAGTCTGGATTGGGGGCATTGGGTAGCGAGTGCACGTGGTCCAGATCACGTCTTTTACATCAACGATGGTGCAGTTAGACTTCAAGACGCACCCTCGCGGTTGAGAGCTAATCCGCAAATGGGGGCGCAAGCTGTTGTTTTGATGTACAGACGAGTACATACTAGGTAAAGTCTAGATGATAGCTGTATTCGGGAAGATCAGAAAGTCGGCAGGTCGAATTTCTCTACTCCTCATGTTCTGTGAGCTTTGTTGGTATCGTAATAATAGTAATGTCTCTTAACTCCGCCGTCCGGAACTGACTCGCTTTTTTTTCACCATAAACCAATGCCTCGTGGTGAAAAGCCCCACCCCTCCTTCCTCAAACGATATCTCTGCCACGTGCCTGCGTCATAGCGCACTGTTGTAGGCAGCCGTGAGCGCCAAGCCCAGACTTCTCGTTTGCTCTTACCTTGAGATCCCCACCTCCCTCACCACAGCTCCAGGAAGATCTTCAGTCTTTCCAAGCTCTACACTTCGACTTCTTTCGAGCCCAAGTTGACCGCAACCATGGCGACTGCATTCCACCTCTTCTCCGACCTGCCCGCGGAACTGCGCGTGCGTATCTGGCACATCGCCCTCGAGGACGACTACGACGATCTCAATGGCCGAAACCGCATCATCGAGCTCCATAGCTACAGCCCAAAATTGAAGGCAATCGCCGTCACAGTGTCTCGTCGCTACCCAACACTTTTCGAAGTCAACCGCGAAGCGCGATGTGAGGCTGCCAAAGCCGGTGGCGGAGAGTGGGTCACTGTAAGTGATTGCGCAACGTCGATGACTTGAGCTTCCATATACTGACACATTTCTGCTTAATTAGGTGAAGGCTCATTGCCAAAGCAGATATGAGAGTAAGCACGAGACCAGCTTCAGCATGTACATGAACCTCTCACAGGATGTCCTCTTCCTCTCCTCCCGATTCCTCGTCGACGATAACGACCGCAGAAGACTAGGCACCAGCATCCCGGCATGCCTAGAGGAGAAGAAATTATATTCCTTGATTAATTTACTGCCCTCTGGCGTCATCAAGAAGATTGCGTACCTCATGCTAACGACGGACCCTATTCATGGACTTCCTTCGGTACACTACAAGGGCAAACTCCTTGAGCTGTTCACTGCTCTCAAGCGTATTCATTTCCAGGCTCACCCTCGTTCTCGTGATCTTCCTCGAATCAGTGAATCAGTCCTACAACACGTCTTGAAGGTCTTCGACGCAGAACCACCACAGGTGTCCTACCACGATATGTACGAAGTCCCTGAGCGGAGCACTCTGATTTGGCTCTCGGTGTCTGGCATGTTAGATGTGGAGTATGACGGCATTCGCAAGGTCGAGTGGGGATTCAGGAAGGACCTATGGGTTCCCAGGGCGAAGAACGGATCGGGTACTCTGCAAAAGATTGTTTAGGGAGTGCGGAAGATGGACATATCTTTTACGCGAAATGTATCAGGCTGCGGCTACATGGCGGAACTTAGATGGGACAATGGCGTCGCCCGACCTGTCGGAGCAAGAGAGTCAGATGAACGAAGCAGATAGCAGCACCACCAAGGAGCCCAACGTATGTAACACATCAAAAAGCAGTCAACAAAGGATAACAATGAATTCTCGTTACCCCAACCACAACTCCTGCTATGCGTTACCCCTACACACCCTGCACCTTCCGATAACTCGGCGGCTTGAGCGTCCTCCTCAACAACTTAACCGCATAAGGCGGCACGAGACTAATCGCCGCAATAACCGCAAACTTCCACCAAAACGCCACACTGCCCACGTACTCGAGATCAAAATACTCCGTCAAAAACGGCACAGAGCCAAAGTAAATCGCCGCCGTACCCACAATACTAGCAATCATAATCCAATGCCATGTCGTAACCTCCATAGCCACCATGACAAGCTCGTTAACGATAAGCACGGAGAAACTGACGCTGACCATTTTAAGGAATGTGGGGTCAGGTGCAGCGGGCGGTGTCGTAGACGTGCCCACGCCGATGAGGAGTTGCGAGAGACCTTGTATGATGGAGCCCTGGTAAACAGAAACCGCGACCCAGATGAAGAAAGATTTGTAACTCAGACTACGTCCTGTTTTGAGTTCGGCGTACAATTCCGGGTAGAGGTTTGCTACGCTCTCATCGACATCGCGATCGAGCACGAGAGAGAACACAGGCATCATGGTGTAAATCGTGCTGTAGCCGACGAGCAAGAAGTCTTTGTACAAAGCGTTGGGCTCAAAGCTGCTGGCGATGGAGAAGACGGTTTGGCAGATGCTGATGATGAGACCGCGGTGGATGACGAATTGGCTTAGTTTGGCTGAGCGCTTGTAGCTGTTGCGGCCATGCCAGACGAGCAGTTTGACGAGGTAGCAGAATTGCTCGATGGAGAAGTCGGCTGCGAGAGAGGCCTGACGGCCTTCTTTCCCTACAATGCCTACGCCTACGTCTGCGGCTTGGATCATGGAGACGTCGTTGCCACCGTCGCCGATGCAGCATACGCGTTTCTTTGTAAACTCGCGGATGAGGCGTGCGACGTCGGCTTTTTGGGTGGGCGAGCACCGACAGGCTACTACGGTGGGGAGTTGCACGGCGACGGTGATGAATTCTTGGCGGAAGTGTTGGAGGAATAGCGCGAGGGATTCGCCGTCGATGAGGAGACAGGCGTCTAGTTTTCCGCGGAGGAAGTCGAGGGAAGAGGAGGCGAGGTCTTTGCGCTTTAGCTTGGCGATGGTGTGGACATATTGGCCGCGGGCTACAAGTTTGGACGAGACGGCTACACAGCGGGCTGTTTCTACTTTGTCGCCCGTCAACATCCAAATCTTGATACCGGCGTTGCGGAGGAGTTCGAGGGAGGGCTTGACGTCTTTTTGGAGTTTGTCTTCGACACCGGTGACACCGAGAAGCTCTAAATCGTTCTCTAGATACTCCTTTACGACGTTGGCGACGGCAGCATCGCGGTTGTTGAGGGCAAGCGAGGCCTGAGCATGCTTGGTGGAGAAATCTTGGTAGATCTGTGCGGAGAGCTTCTTGCGGCCGACGACCAGTGTTCGGAGACCTTCACGAGCCATATTGGCTGTCTCTTCGTCGAGCCAGTCGTTGGCGGCAACAATGGAGGTCATGACAGTGTCGGCACCCTTCTGATAGAACCAGATCTCGCCACCATCATCAGTGGGTGATGATGCTGGACCTTGGTAGAACTTCACAACGATACCCATACGCTTGCCTTCTGATGTGAACGGGAAGACATTCAAGATGCGCACTTTGACTACAGTATTCCCGCTGTCGCATGACAGGAGGGTCATGGATTCGCGGTCGCGAGACAGGAGCTTCAAGCCGACAGCCTCAGTCCATCTGACGATAGCAATCTCATCGGGAGAGGAGGCTTGGTAAGTAGTCACTGTCTCCCCGTTCTCTTCTTCCGTGGTCGGCGTTACGTTATGGCAGAGGGCTAGGGCTAGTACAACATCACGGACCCGAGATCCAATCTCTCGGCGGGTACGAGTGGCCGAGGTGAGAGGTGCAGTGTATGCAGAAGAAGGCGTGACCAGCGCTGGGGCTTCTCCGGCGGGTGGCGTAAAGCATTGGTGAACGTATGAGGATACTTCGTCCATGGCCTCGTTTGCGTAGGAGACTGTGCCGACGTGTATCTTTTTCATGACCATCTCTGCGTACTGTTAGTCGGGTCAAAACTAGGTTGTCGATGATCATACCATTCTGTGTTAGAGTACCCGTCTTGTCGCTCAACAGGTACTCAATGCGACCCAGGTCTTCTGGAATTGTGCTAGTCCGAACAATAGTGCCTTTGATGCTTTCGTCATGCTGTATGAACCACGCGTAGACCGACTTGCCCATATCGAGATTGACACGCAGACCTACTGGAACAATAGTGGAAAACAGAATGAGAAATCTCAGCATTGACGCCCACCATTGCCGGCCTTCGATGACCTGGAATCGTGCGAGTGCCACTAGAATGAAAGAGAGCGAGAGGGTGAAGATACATAGCCACTTGGTCAGAGAATTGATCTCTAATTCAAGCAGACCAGTCTTGGATCTTGAAGGCGATGTAGAAAGTGCTTGACGAGTTTGTGGGCCGGTGTATACAACCACAGCTAGTAGACTGCAGCTTGATGCAACGACAGTATTCGCCCAGATGGTGTTGTCGATGCTCAAGGGTGCCGACTGCACTTCTGTTGGGGATGCCGTTTCTTCATTATCATGAGGGTCATAATGTCGCTGCGTTTTGGGTGGCAGTTCAACGGTTCCGTAGAACTCATTGACCTTCTTGTCCGGTTTGCCAGCGACAACGCGGAGCCGGGTGTACTCGCCAACGTCCAAGTTTTGTGTAAGTGGCGAAGTCAAGCGCAGCTTCCAATCTGTTTCTCCGTCTAACTGATCCGTTCGGATGAAGGCTTCTCCGGAGGTTCCAGAAGCTGTGGCACTGTCAACCTTGGCCGTGTCGCCGGAGTCCATGCCATCAATAAGCGCAGCTGATGAACTTTGCGCCTTGAAGTCATCTTCAATGGGTGCTGCATTTTCACTGGAGTAGCTCTTGAGGAGCACCATGTCGGCAGGCACTCGCTGGTCCTTGCCGAGTTTCACGACGTCTCCAACTCTGAGGCTCCGAGAGGGTTTCACAACTTCCCAGTAAGTGCATGTCGCCAAGCCCTTGCCTGAAAGTCGCTGCTCCTCGTCATCAATGTCTGCCAAGCGACCCTCGTCCTTGGGCTGCTTCCTCAGGCGCTTCTTCCTCTGCGAGTTCTTTCCGGGCGCGACGCCGTTCCCGAGGCTGTTCTCCTCAAACTTCAGAACGGTGTAACCTTCCGAGTTTGCTTCTGCGTCTCTCCGCCGTCGAGCGATGTCGTCCGTTGCCTCTTTACTCAGTGTTATCGTTAGGACAAAAGCCAGCGGCGCGATGTATGTTGACAGGTAGCCGATTCGGAGGACGGGTATGACTTGCGATAGGGCGACGAGTAGAAAGTACATGTTGATGAAGAAGGAGAACTCATTGTAGAGGGTGCGTGGGAGGAAACTCCACGGGGTGTATTTGGCATTCGACACGGCGTTCGCGGGGAATCTCGAGGTTTGGAGCTGGCCGACAGAAATGGTGCGCTGGGTGGTCGGATCGTGCTCCTCGTCGGCATCCGACTCTCCGGCGTCGTCGCCTAACTGTATGGGGGCGTTGTTCTGGCGTGAGAGGAAGCTGGGCAGGCGCATGTTGGAGCCCAGGCGGGAAAGAGCGCTCGGTGGTGGCTGCCGTCTTCTCCGTGGTGTGTGCTGTTCAGGCAAGAGCGGCGAGTCGTCATCGCCCGACTGGCCATAACTGCCAGCAGAGTCTCTCTTGGACCCTTCATCGTCGTCCAGCAGCCCTCTTAGGTCATCCTCTTCCGGCTCTTCCTTCTTTTTGCTTGCGCGCAGTCTGCCGACTCTGAGATTCCGCAGCGGTATCCTCGCGCCCAGCTCATGGTATGGCCGTCGTTGTTCCTTGGACTGGCGACGTGGTGGTGTAGCGGCGGAATGGGAACGAGAGGCCAGAGGGTCCAGCTCCTCTAGGTCGAGTTCTAGGTCCGAGTCCTCGTCTGGCGCGTTCGGCTGGTGGTACTGGTGGGGAGCGGCCATGGCTCATGGGCGGGCGAAGGGGGTGCTGGCTAGTTCCGCCTCATGTGCGACGGGCTGGGTGTGGTTATGGCTACGAGGGTTGCCTTCGGGGGTCCGCGGCGTTTCGGGGGTGTCTGAATGGGCTGGCTGGGCGACTGGATGTTTTGTTTCGGCGACCGAGCGCTGTTTGGGCCGTGTCAATGGTATATGACGTATGCCCGAAGATTTTAGGTGGTGCAAATTGAAAGGCGGTATGTGAATAGTAGAGTCCATGTGTCTCGACGTCGCGTCACTCTGGGCTGTGTGGCGCAGGCGCGGGTGTGGCTCGAGGACAGGGTTGCCGCGGCGGGCCGTTTCAATGTCCAACCTTGGGCGCAGGAACAGCTGGCCAGATCGCTTTCCCACCCATCCTGCCACATTACCTGCGATGCGACCAGGGATCGCCTCGGATATTTGATTCTCGCTGCCTTCCTGGACGAAGATCGCGTCTTTCGCAGTTGTGCGACACGCAGAGCCCATGCTCTTCTGCTTCTCTAGAGGTACGTAGCCATGTTCGCGGTCTCTGACGTAGAAAGGGATGACGATTACGCCTCTTGCTGTTCGCGTTCAAGTCACCGTTGCGACTTCCTTTCACACCGAGTCATATGCACTTGCGTTTACACAAACTCCTCTCTCCTGCATGATTCTCCTCGGTTCGCATATTTTGTCCCACGAGGCGTCTACCGTGGCATGTCAGACCTCGCTTCACCACCCCGACCGAGGCCCAACCTTCTGGCCACCGACCCCCAATTACCGTGCTGACTGCCTGTGCAGTACTTGTAG